TTTTTTTATTTTTAAATGAATTAAAAAATATTATAATCAATTAAAATAATAAATTATCGTATTAATAATTAAGGAGTGACAATAACACCACCCTTATTCTGGTGTTTTGTGGTATTTTATTTCTATTCTTGCTCATCTTTTGTTTTTAATTTTATATGAATTTACTTTAAAAGTTTGTAAATTCATTTAAATTTGGCCCCCTGGTTTTGGAGAAAAAAAAAAAGTTTGTTGGTTTGAAAGTTCGTAATTAAAGTAAATTTGGTCCATTCACTTTTTTAAAATTATTTTTATCCTTAAATTTTATATATATATATTTTTTGTCATTTTCTAGTTTATTGATCTGTTGGGTATGTCAGGTGATGATTAGGAAGATTAGAAAATGGATATGCTATAAAAGATGAGGAAAAACAAATAAAGGATTGATTGAATTATGATGTTTAAATTATTAACCATGATTATTTTCAGCAATTGTTTCCTTGATGGTACTACTTTTTTCAAACATTTAATCTTTGTTTAAACTTATTTAATTTATATTTTAATCTATAAATCTTTTAGACAAATCAAATATTATATATTAATTTTTATTTTTTTTTAAAAATAATAATTGATATACATTTCGATTCAACATATTACTTAATATATTTATTAAAATATTATTATATTTTATTTAAAATTAAAAACAGATAAATTTAAAGATACAATTATGCATATAAGATGTAAAAATTAATTAAACTAATTGTATTTATATTATATTTTTAAAAATTAAATTGAAAATACAACAAAAAAAATATATTGAATCAAATGTGTACATATATAAGCTTTTTTACAAAAAGCTTGCCAAATGTAATATATTAATTAGTGGCTTAAAAATTTCTCTCCTAGTCCTCATGAATCAGTTCAAACTCATGGACAGTCTATTATTAATTTCGAGTTTCACAATATATAAATATCATTATAAATCTCCATTGCAGCATATGGTTAGTTTGGTCTTGAACTATCTGACTTTTCTCACCCTAAAATTTCTTTAAAAATATATATATATATATTATGCAATTAAAACTACATAATTTAAACTATTAAATTTAAGTAATCCCTTCGATAGCGCGCAGGGCCATCCTCCCCATCCAAGGGTTACTCTTTTGCGACAAGAGCACAAGAGTATGTGTTACTTTCCTCAATCGAAGTGCAATCCCAATAAGAGGCGCATAACGCCAATTCTATTCAGCAATTTGTGTGCTTTTCTCCTTGGTTTTGTAGTCAAAATTCTCTTTTTAGCCGCTGGAGTTTAGGATAAGTATTATTCTTTTTATTGTAGTTTTGGTTGCCGCAGCTATAATTTGAGAATACGTATATGTTTCTAGATGTGTTTTGAAGGCTGAATTTGATTATTGGTGTGTCAAGACAATTGAGAAGGGAAGGTTTGTAACTTCTCAGGTTGTGCATAATAGGTGTTTGATGAAATACCTGTAAGGGGTTGCTGGGTGTTGTTGATAAGGATACATTACTAGATTTGACTTTAGTGTTGGCTGGAGATGCTCTCTGCTTAAGAAATCACTCGAAGTAAAAGTAATTTAATCTAAAGTGAGCAAGAGAAGAACCCATGGGTGTCTTGGTGGAATTTGTTTTGACTTATCTGGGGATTTAGGGGAGTGGAACTGGAGATGGAGGAGGAGCTCTGGAAATTTTGTTGAAGTAATCAATTATTGTTCGTAAGCAATTTAGAAGCATTCAGTTATACCTAAAATTAACCCATTATAAATAGAGTCTCTTAATAATGGTCAAATAACTGATTATTAAAATCAGTATTATTAATTAGAAAAAAAATTAATATACTTTTTCAATTTAATACATTTATTAACACTCATTAGTTTAATTAATAAAATTTATAATTTTAAGTTTTTTTATTTTTAATTTAAAAAATAATAATTTATTAATAAATATATTAGAAAGTATGTTAAATTCGAGACTATCTATATTAATATCCTAACTAATTATATTGCACATTTTCCCTCGGCTTTCCCAGGGTTGATGTCTGGTAGGTCCAAGATGGAAACTTTCTGAGAAGCAATCGGTTACCAGACATTGGCAACCTTTGCCGGCCTCGCACAATTAATCTGACCACTTTCTTGATAAAGTGGTCAGACTCAACACCCAGCAAAGACTATAGCATTAAAAAGAAAAATGTAGAAATAAAAGTTTACCCATATGGAGTAAACTTTTGATACATAAACTTAAAGAAATAGTACTAACCATAATAAAAAGTTGAAAACTTTTAAGTGCATTGCGGATTACCTTTTTCTTCAAAATTAGTCCTAACCTTCCTCGAATCAGATTTTGACACGTTTATTGCTCCCCCAATAGAGTTCTGCACAGAATATTTAATAAGAACATAATAATATTCCCTCAAAAAAAAAAGAACATAATAATAATAATAATAATAATAATAATAATAAAATTACAATTATTAAAAGAGTTATCAAAATATTAAAAAAAGACAAAAAAAATTTGTTCAAAATAAGAAAAAAGTTCAAAAAATAGAGGATTGATTTGAGGTTGATTATGGATTAAAATGTAATTTTATTGTGTTATGTGATGTCAATGACGAGATTATTTTAACAAAAAGAACAAAGAATCAAAGCTATATGTAGCACCAAAGAATACTCACCAATATGCATTGAGAAAGACTATTGCAACTTTATTTTCAATTTATAAAGTAGAAATAGAGTTATTTTATTTTTTAAGATATTTTATTAAAATAATATAATTATATATATACATATATATATATTTTTTTTTATTTTCCCTGCAGATCGAGCATATAAAAACTTATTTTAGGTAGAAAGCACTATTGTTTTATGAGCAGCCTTCCTCTTTAGAAAGGAAAGAAAAAATTGGATGGAAAATGAGTTAGAGAGCAACTTCTCTTCTCCCCTCTCCTAGTCCTCTCTAACTCATCCAAAAAAAACCTTAAAATGAGATGTGTCTAGTTGAAGTAATAAAATACCTGGTGGTGTCAAAGGCTGGGAAACTTTAACCGTGATATTCAGGTACAACCATAAAACTTCTTCAGACGAAATGGTTCTTATGAGAGACGGCTATGAGATTCAACCTATTACAGAGTACCTTGACATATAGTATATCTGGCGGTTTCGATTAGGATGCCTAAAGGTTTGTAGCCTTGAATATGCCAGTAATCAGCAGAGAGAATCTCAATTAGCTGAGATTGAACTAAGTTAATTTGGGAAGAG